CTAGCAAACTGTCTCCACCACAGACGCACAGCCAGCTCACAGCACCAGCACCGGCGCCATCAACCTGTCTCCACCTGCGCAGCCAGCTCATACCACCATCACACCCACCGGCACCCAGCACCCAGCACCGACACCAGCAACCACACCAGCACCGGCACCCAGCACCCGGCACCAGCACCGGCACCAACAACCTCTCTCCACCACATGCACAGCCAGCTCACAGCACCAGCACCAACATCGGCACCCGGCACCAGCACCGGCGCCAGCAACCTTTCTCCACCACGCGCACGGCCAGCTCACAGCACCCACACCAGCACCGGCGCCCGGCACCAGCATCAGCAACCTGCCTCCACCATGTGCACAGCCAGCTCACAGCACCAGCACCAACACTGGCACCCAGCACCAGCAACCTGCCTCAAAAACACGCACGGGCAACTCATTGTTTTCTGAAGCAAGAACCCCATACCTTCGCTATCTGGGGAAAAACAGTGGCTGCCTCCCACTGGGCATACCACGACCGGGGCCTTCAAACCAGTGGATCTGGACCGGACCCTGCACCAGCCGTAGACACCTCCCCGACCCCATCCCCGACCAATCGACTCGTCGAGACCCCTAGGCGGCACACTCGAGACGGGGACCATGATTTGCCTATTCCCCAACTGATCCTGAGGATGATGGAGGACATCACTGCGCCGGCCATTGGGTCGAAGGCGCTATGCACAAAGACCCGACCTCGATCGAACGGTGTCGCGCCCGTGTGGCGTGTCGGAGCCGAGCTGACCGGCTCGGCCTGGGTCTTTAGGTTTAGAAAGACTATCTTCCAGCTCTATGATGTCTTAGAAAGACTAGTAATTATACCAGCACTACCTATTTCCCACGGTTCTTGAATCGGGACAAAACACAAATCAGGCGAGTCTATCAACCACATCGTCACATCCAGCATGATTCTGTAGGACCTGACGAGCCCGGCGGTTTTATGCTCTAACATCATGTCGTTAGGGAATTACCTGCCTACGAAATGCTTCGAATCTTAGGGGAATTGCTTTGGAAGGACAAAAAAAACTAAGGCCATGAAGTGAAGTGTGATTTGACAACCTTGTCAAACTCTGTGTTTCTGCTTGGGTGTCTTTTGCTGTTGTCTTCTCATTCGCGGTATTCTTCCGGTTGACTGTTCCAAGTTAGTGGTGGGGAGAGAGTCGAGTGGACCGGCGGAGTACATATATGAAGTTCCATTCTAGAAACAGTTGCCAAGTTCTTGGTAACCATGTTCACACATCAGGGAAGTACTGCATATTATTTTATATAGGCTTTGGAGGTTTTCTCTAAATAGTTTGTGTTCTAATTGATGGTTGCCAGGGTTGCATACCAAGCCCACACGAAGAACTCAACAAGTCAGGTCAAGGACACTTGGTGTATGTCCATTTGATCTTCAAAAAGCTCAACCCAACACACTGGAAGTTTTGGTAATCTCCTCCATCCCTCCGCTGTTGCTGGGCACGCTCGAACAGTGATCGCACAATGACTATGATCCAAAGAACTTAACTGGTTGGTGGTTTCAACACCCTTGGAAACATATACGAGTCAGTCGGCTCAATCATCCCAGGTAAAGGTTGAACGTAAACATATTCCAAACCACCTAGTTATTCGAGACTATTCCAAACAAACCAACAAACCAACAACCTTTTGGAGGTTTTTCCAAAGCACCTCCTAGTCAAGGTCGCAGTAGCAGTATTCCTCCAACAGGTGCTCCGTTTGGACCATCGGTGCCGCAAAAAAAAAGAAACGACCAAACACATTGGAGGGTCCTAGTTGTCAATAAATACCCCTTATATCTAGCTATAGTATACCTGGACCCTCCGACCATGGTGTCCTGGCTGGACTAGCCCACACTACCGGCCGTTCTTCCAGACAGGGCACCCCGATGGTCGGGTCCTGGTAGCTCTCCACGTTTGGTCGGATCCCGCGGTGCTGAGGCTTCCGAACTGTCGCCGGATCCGGCGTGCCGCTGGCGCTCGCAGTATTCCACTCGCTGGGAACAACCTCGGGGGCACCGAACCGAACCGTCGCCCGTAACCCGGTCGTCTTCGACGGTCTGATATACACCACTTCCCGCAAAACTCACATGGACCGTCTGGACTCACCTGGCCCCCTTGGAAGATTGCTTTCCTCTACCAACCAATGGTTGGTCCATGTTCATTTGCAGGGGAGTATGGCGTATGGCCTCGTGTGTCCGGTCCGTGCCAATGGCGCTGTGGCCTCGTGTGGACCTGTCTGTGGTGAAATATTGTCCGCTCAACAGGGAAGAACAAAGAGGAAATACTAGGAGCAAAAAGCTACTAGGAAAAAGGGGCGTCGCTACTAGGAGCGTCCAACCGTTACTGGTCGTGTCTCGTGTCAGACCTCGATCTTCCAACCGTTCCGATTGGCGCTTTGCCTTGCCGATTTTCCAGCCGCCAATTTAGGCAACACATGAAAGATAGTGTGGGATTGAAACGACACTCCAAACTGGTGAACCAAGAGGATCATCCAGAGAATGATTGAATGTCCACATGGACTCTTATGTACCACTCGGGGTCGGGCGAGGGATCAAAAAAACACAAATGAATCAAACAAACATATTTCAGGGGATCAATAACAAATAAATAAATCAAAAGTAAAATAAACGGATCCAAAGTGCGGAGGGAAAAGCAATCTTCCATGCGAAGCAGTGATCAAAAAAACAAAACAAACACATCACAAAAACAAACCGGAAATCAACATTCACTCACTCATTCATTCGTTCATTCATTTGCATGTTATGTTAGTTTATTTCATTTCATTCATGCATTCATTCACTCCTTCATTCATGCATTCTTTATTTCGTTCATGTTCATGTTCATGTTCGTTTCATTTCATCTCATTTCACTCCTTCCTTCCTTCCTTCCGTCCTGCCTTTCTGCCTTTCTTTGTTTTGTTTTGATGCATGTTTATTTTTTTTTGCTGTCTGTTTATGCTTTTTGATGCATGTTTACTTCTTTTTTGATGCCTCTCCCTTCGGGGTCCATACTATGCATCCCGATCGCTGGAATGCAACAAATGCAACCAAGCTGTATGAGTTGCAAAATCAAAACGCCATCCCTCCGTAGCTGCTTTTAACCGCATCATGCGATACAATCCTCTGCCCAATATACAGGTCATCCTGGATCCTCACTGCCCAACCCAGTGCCAAAATCAAAATGCCATCTTTGCCAGAATCCAAATGCCATCTACAAACCATTTACACCATAGCCATCGTTTCCGCAATACTCCCCGTCTTAGCAAAACAAACACACCTCTTCAAACGACTCCAAACTACAGACGTTGTGGATGCAAACAAACCTACCCAAAACCACAAAAAAATCAAGGGAGGCCAGAGGACTCTTGTGAAGCACGACCAGACGTGCCCGTGTATACACTTATAGCCCAATTTTGTCCCTATAGTGGAATCCCCAATCATCACTCTCCATTCTTAACCCCGAAGAAGCTCCCCAGGCGGTGGGGAAGTGGATGCAAGCCCGGGCCAAGGCAGCAGGTCCGGAGACTCCACTTGTTGCAGCGGTTACTCCCGCTTAAATGTTGCTTGTCTTTTCTTGCTCCCACCTTTGATGTGCTCTGGCAAGGCACGATGGGCCAGCCAGCTGCCGCCAGATGTGCGCGCAACTGATGCGTCCGCGCCGTGAGAGGCTCCGCCAGCAGCAGTGAGGCCGAGGTGTTTGATGCGTTCGATGCATGGAGGGCGAGCACGGTGAAGCCTGAGTGACGTGAGCACGCTCTGTCGGGAGGGTGGGCCACATTCCTGGATTTGAAGTTGCCAAAACATGATAGATTCCTATCGAAACGATTCGTTTAGACCAATATTAGTCTAACATCGATTTCTTGGTACGCCCTACTCGCCCTGCTCTCTTTCTCTCTCTCTTTCTCTCTCTCACTTTCTCTTTACGTTTCTCTTTCTCTGTCTTTCTCTCTCTACAGCGCGCCCTGAGCGCGCCTTTCTGGAGCGTGTTTCAGAGCACGCCAGAGCGCGCCGTCCAAAGCACACGAGAGCGCGCCCCCTGCTGTCTTTCTTTCTTTCTGTCTTTCTTTCTTTCTTGCTTGCTTGTTTTCTTTCTTTCGTTTCTTTCTCCGAGTTGACAGAGTTCAGGAGGACAAGGCCTGGACACGGAGCCTAGCCACAGAGTTGACAGAGTTCAGGGAGGACAAGAGGAGCCACACAGCCCAGCCACAGAGTTGACAGAGTTCAGGGCCCGGGCAAGAGGAGGACAAGAGGAGGACAATGTGACAAGGCCACAGAGAACAGCCGCAAAGCCGAGTTGACAGAGTTCCTTGGCGCGAGGAGGCCAAGGCCTAGCCACAAAGCCCAGCCACAGAGCCCAGCCACAGAGTTGACAGAGTTGAGGGGCGTGGCCAAGAGGAGGACAAGAGGAGGACAAGGCCCAGCCACAGAG